AATTTTAGATTTATTGAGAGGCAACATGTCACTGACTAAAGTTGGGTGGCATCATGGGAAAATTAATCATACACCTACAACTAGCATGCAACATTATCTAGTTTTTGATAAGTAGTATTAATGTCATGCGCAACCATAATTTTTATAGCAGTAATGTAGCCTACTTCATGTGGTTATGTGTTATGGATACTCAGAACTACATACAAATAGTACAGGTGAATGTGAGACTGTTTAAACTACTGAAATCAAGTATTTGTGCTCTTTCGTCAATGGTGATCTCCTCAGAACAATATGCCCATGGATATTAAGTCTCAAGATATGTATGTTTTTTCACTGTTGGACTGTTTAGTTATTTATATATTTGGAGTGTTAACTGCTTATCATATGTATAGTTTGCAATTACTTTCTCCCATTCTTCATTCATTGATTATGTTTGTTGTTCTGCAGAAGCTTTCAAGTTTTATATCATCCTATTTATTTTTACTTTTGTTCTCAGTTCCTTTGGGCTCATATCCAAATAGCCATTGGCCAGACCAATGTTATAAAGCTTTCCCCTTTGCTAAATGGAATCTCTGCATTTAATGCAAATCCTAGAAATAAAATAAGCATTCTTGTAATAGTTCTGAGGAAACAAACATGAATTAGGCATCAGCATCACCATTTGGGGAGCCAGAAGTAAATTTGAGACTCAGACAAATGAATGACTTCTTTAGGTCTATATTTCCCTGTTTTCCTCTCATAGTTTCATACTTCGAGGTCCTACGTTTAAGTTGATTTTTTATATAGCATGAAATAAGGGTTGGAGTCATTTTTCTGCATGTGGATATCTACTTTTCCTAGCATATGTATTGCAAAGACTTACCTTTTTCTACATCCTGTGTTTTTGACACTTTGGTTAAAAAATCAACTGGCTGTCATTTCTCTTTACTTTTGATCTCTCTGTTCCATTGGACTCTGTCAGTTTTTATACTGGTTTCATACTATATCATTCACAATTTAAGCATTATTTTTGAGCCTGTTAGTCTAGCTTTTCCCAGGGAGCATAAAACTGCATTTGTTAAATTGTTTTGACAGTTTACTTGTAGAAGTGTAGACAAGTACTTTTAACATTGTTAATCCATTGTGTTTTTTTAAATCAAGTCTTTGAGGGGAGGGGAAGAATGCTAAACATTTCTAGGAATTTCAGCAGTACTTTATGACCTTTTTGTTTTCTTTTTCTGAAGGGGTACTTTTGGAAAGGTTTTTTGCAAGGTGGATTCACTCAATCATTTTAAACTGTTGTTTTTTAACGGTTAATCCTGTTTCCCCTTGAGAATAGTGTAAATAATATTGGAACTGTAGCCTCTAAAAGGAAAAAGGGAATTATTTTTTTTAAACAAGTGGTTAGAAGCAAGAAAAAAATGTTTGTTTTGGGTGTAACTACACATAAAAAGAATGTGCACATAAGTGCAGAGCATTTTGCCAAATTTTATGTAGTATAGAAGCTCCTTAGCTGGGAGTTCTGCAAAGGGCAGATTCCCTCAAGCATATACTCCCAAGGTTTCAACCAGTCCATTGCTGATGATAGGAAGAAGTGACCACCACAAGTTATCTATGTTCAGATGCACAACCTGATAGAGCCTATCAGGATTAGACTTTCCATGGTAGAGATGAAAAAATTTCAATTGAACAGTGATAATCCTACTTAATTTTTTTTAAAAAAGTAGTATATATTAATGGTATAAACTGAGGGATTGCATTGTGATTTTCCATACATGTACTTTGATCCTAGTCACCTTTCCTCCAACCAACCCTATTTGTAAAAATTTTCTTACAGTATTTTTAAAATGAGTTTTGGATAGCTCTATTTTTCTAAGTTAATGTAAGAGTACTGTTTTGCTGGTCATCCAGCAAGTGGCTTACACCTGAAATGTAAGGATTAAAGTTCAGAGCCAGCCAGGACAGGAAACCCCACAAGACTCTTACTCCAGTTAACCATCAAAAATTCAAGAAGTAGAGCTGTACCACAAATGGCAGAGCACTAGCCTTGAGCACAAAATCTCAGGGACAACACCCAATTCTCAAGCCCCACAGCGCGCGCACACGCACGCGCGCACGCACACGCACACACACACACACACACACACACACACCACACAGTGCCACACACAGTGCCACACACATACATACATATACACATACACACAAATCTACAGTACACTAAAAGTTGAATTAGCAATATTTTAATGTATATTTTATACATTTTTAAAAGAAGGTAACAATGTGATAATCATGCATTAAAGATATTGCATACATTGTTTTTCTTTTTTTCCTTTTTTCTAATTGTGAAAATACTGTACAGAGGGGTTACAATTATATAGGCAAGGTAAAGAGTACATTTTTTATCAAGCATCGTTGCCTCCTCCTTTGTTGCATACATTGTTTTTCAATCACAAAAATCTAAAACTCCAGGCAGAGGTGATACAATGACCATTTGAGTTCATGGTATTTTTGGTTGTTTTTATAAAGCATGTACAGATTCATAGTATGCTCATACATATGCCTAAAAGTATACAAGGATGTTTGCATCCTGCTTGCTTTGGCAGTTTAAGGGTTTCTTTTTCATATTTACAGAGCACTTGTGTGCTGCCAGCATCCACCAGCAGACCTTAAATTGAAAGGCAAATCCCTAAACACTTTCCATTCTTTGCCATATCTTTATTCAAATGTGGTACTCTTTTAGGCAGGGGAAAGACATTCATCTGCTCCTACTGGCAGGCTCTAAGTTTCTCTCAAAGCATAAGAGAAAGAAGAATAGGAGCAACCTGTGAATTTTGTCTTGCTAGGAGCAGAACATATATCATCCCGAGGGTGTACCATCCCAGGTGTTCTTCCAGCCTCTCTTCTTTCTGTGTGGAATAAGGATTGATTGTCAGTCAGCCCTTCTGGGAAGCAAGCTAGGTCCAAATCTCTGATGCAGAAGAATACAATGAATGGCTCCCAGAAATACCTTCCCATGTCTTTCTTGTTAGGTTAACAGTTTAGTAGATTAGATACTAGTAAAGTGTTGGGTACTTCTCAGTCTTACCAACTGCCATAAAATTAGGGAATATTCCTGCCAGGTATCAGGAAATTGTTGACTGGTCCCCTATATTTATGGTGCTGTTGGGATTTGAAATCATTTTTTATTTCCTTTGAAGTTTCCAGGCAAGGCTTAAAAGGTGTGGTGACTCAGCTATCTACTGCCCATCCGACCCTACAAATTACCTGTTAAATTTTAACTTAGAACTGCAATATTTCCATCAGTTCTCTAAGATGAATACATGGCTAATGCTCTGGAAATTTTCAAATACTGCTCTCAGTATACTGATGATGAATAGAGCATTATTAACCTTCAAAGTAGCTATCATCATTACAGCTTGCCTGCTATGCTCACAAGGTAATTGGATGTTGTCATAAACTGTCATACTCAGGGTACCTACTGAGCCCATGTCCTCTGCTCTTTGATTCTGCATCACTTCCTTTAGTTCATATTGCTTTATTTTGATCAAGAAAAAGTTATGGGTTAAATCCTGGGGATGGGAAGTGAGTAGGCTAAGTATGATCTAGATAAGAGGACTTGAAAATAAGAACTATGCATATTGCAGAAGAAACAGATATGCATACAACATGTCACAATGAAGAGAGACAGATGTGATCCAAAGGAAATGAAGAAATACATACACTCTCATGTTCATGGTTTGTTTATTCTCAATTATATGATACAGAATGTGCCTCTATCCTGCACTTTAACTGATTAAGAAACATGGCAGTATAAATTTACAAATAAATCTTTTTTTTACAAATACTTTCTGACTACAGTACCTGATGAGTGTTAGCAGTATTTGAAATAGGGAAGAAGTGTCCATTTCCTCTTCTACCTCCCAGTTTGATTTTTTAATAAGTTTTTTATTGTGAAAATACTGTACAGAGGGGTTACAATCACATGAGCAAGGTAATGAGAACATTTCTTACAAAGCATTGGTTTTTGCTTCCAATATGTACATAACTCAATGGAATCACTTTGAGATTCACCTGAGCAACCAGCTTCTACCATAAAACTCAAGGGCAACTCTACAAAGTTCACATGAGAGAGCCACAATCTACCCTGACCTACTTAACCTTGGGTATCTTTGGGCATCTCTCACTTTGCTTCTCATTTCCTCTGGGTGAAAACTCCTGTCTCTCCAGAAACAATGATGTTGCGAAGGAATCATAATGTTTATTTGTCAATCCAATAATTTCTATCCTCACTCTCTAAGAGTCTTACCATAATTCGCTTCCTTCCCCCTACAAGATCCCTATTCTGCCCATTCTGATCCCTGGCTTTCTGCTTCCTATCTGGCTTTATTTTTCTCCATAATTTATGTTTGAAGGAATTCTAAGGTGCTGCTGCCATCTTGATCCAGCACCAAAACTTTCAGGTAGCTGTGAAAGAAGTAGAGATTAGCCAGGCAACAGTGGTTCATGCCTATAAGCCTCACTACTCTAGAGGAGGTTGAGATCTGGAAGATCACAGTTTAAAGCCAACCCAGGGAGAAAGTTCTCTAGATTCCATCCCCAAAGTAACCAGTAAAATATGGGCTGGAGGACATTGGTCAAGTGGTAGAGCCCCATCTGACCAAGCAAACATAAGGCCCTGAGTTCAAACCCCTCCCCATGGTTGCATTCTAGGCACTAATCTTTCTCTTAAACTTAGAACAAAGCTACTCATTCTCATGACCGCCAGTTCAGTAAAATAAAGTCCAGCTTTTGAGTTTCTCAAAATTTATTTTGATAATTACCTGTTCTTTTTACTATATCTCTTTTTTCTACTATATATGTATATTTCCTGATGCCACCTTCCCCACTGTATATTCTGTAGCTCTTGACTTGTGATGCGAATTAACAAATACAATTACTTGTGAATTTTTGACAAAAAGAAATTTGATGGCATATCTCTAGGGATATCTAATTTTCTTTTTAAAAAATATTATTCTTGTAGCACTCGTATGTATCTTTAATTTGTTGTAACAAAGCCTTACAGACAAGTGCAAATAGTAAATCCTCTTTTGCAACCCAGAACTCATTATTGAGCATGAGTTTTGGTACATGTAAGAAGGAATATGATTCCTACAATAGTTGGCAGTGATAGGGGGTGTATTTTTAACTCATTCAGGTTGGCTCGGAGAATCAAGTTGATGTATGAGCTAAAAACAATAAATATTCGTGGTAGAATCCAGTGAATAACAAACTCAAAGATACACAATTCACCTTAAAGAAGCACTCATTGATAATTTAATCTCCGTAGTTAAATTATATAAGTCATGTAGCTTCTATGGCATAAATTGTTATTCTCAAAGAATGATGTTAAAAATTGAGCCTACTATCATAATTCAGTACTATGAAAAATAAAGTGGGCAAGATAGCCCACATGAGATCTAAGAAAAGCTACAATTTTCTGCACCCACATTTATTTTTGAGTGTCATTCAGGATATGTATGTACATATGTATATTCTATGTTGTTATTCCTTCAAGAATACCAAATACCATGATGCTAAGGTGTGGGATAAATTACTAAGATATGAGGGTAAAATAGGATTAGATTCTATATTGCACATTTCTTTCTTGTATGCATATTTTATCTTTCACATTTATCATAAGCTGTACTTTCAATTTTCAGAGCTTTTGTTACAGCCCACATGAAACCAAGTTTCCTTGAGAGAAGAAATAGAATTGAATGCTGGATGCTTTTGACATTATCAATGATGCTATTATTCAGGGTTGAAAAGAAAGTCTTTAAGCATAAAGCTGGCACAATTCAATCTGTCCTAACTGTTTATCAGTGTGCCTAATTAAATCTTGTCTCCTTAGTGCTTAGAAATCAGAATTGCTGGTAGAAGGTACCTTTCTTGGGAAAAAAACCCCACAAACTAGAATCAAGTGAGAAGGTTGATTTGTTCAATGTGCCATGAAATGGGGGAGCCACTTGCATCTCTGCTTTCATGTAAAATACCAAGGCTTACCAACCAGGCATCAGTATTTTATGTCCAGTATCCTAGCTACCTAGGAAGCTGAGATCTGGAGGGTTGTAGTTCAAAGCTAGACCAGGCAGAAAAATCTTTGAGTTTCTATATCCAAAATAACCAGCAAAATGGTAGAGTAGAGGCATGGCTCAGGCAGTCAAACATCAGCCATATACAAAGGAGCAGTGACACACACACACACACTCACACACATACACACACACAAGGAAATTCAGATATAAAAGAACATTTTGTCTGGAATATGGCATTTTAGGGGCTGAAATCAATGTGGGCAGGTTGAGGGACAGAAGGAAGCTTTTTTGTTCTCCTAGATCATTATAATTTTTCAAGTAATCCCTTTTTGTTAATAAAATTATCTCAATTCAAGCATATTCTACTTATTCCAGTGGTTCAAATGGAGGCCCTTGTGTCTTTGCTTTCCAATACTTGGAAATTATACTTTGCATTTTGCATTCTCAAGGTGGGAGAAATTATCCACAATCCCATGGAAAGACACATTCTAGACACTCCGTTCATGAATGAAAAGGTTGATCAAAAGGCTGAAATTGTTTTCTGTTTCAGTTAGCATTTGTGGGTGCTCTCTACTCTTTTTCATAGATAGAAGAATGACTTTTAGTTGCTGACATTAGATAGGCTGTGGTAGATGCTGTCCAAAAAGAAATGTGTTCATTACCTGACTTAGGTAATTATAACCCCTCTGTACATCACCTTTATAATAATTTTAAAACGAAGATAGGCTGTGAACTTGTTGCTGTTTTTTAAAGCACTTTATACTTTTTTTGTCTTTCAGGCACTTCTCATGCCTGTCGTCAAAATATATGTGCCCTGGTGTCCCTGCAGTCATGAGTACTTTGCTGGCAAATATAAATGCTTTCTACGCTCACACAACAATTTCAACAAACATCCAGGTTTCTGCCTCAGATCGATTTGCTGCTACTAACTTTGGTGTGAGTGTATATATATATATATTTTTTTTAACATTAAAATTTCTAACAGCTTCTGGGGGGATTCATTTTCAAGCGCCTTTACAGCCAGTAACTCTCCCAAATCTTTTTGCAAAAAGGGATAGCTGGGGGAATTTATCTTACTATAATAGGTTGTAGCAATTTATCTTACTGTAATATATTGTAGCTCAAAGTTCATTGGTTTCTGTGAAATAAGTTGATTTAACAGCCAAGATGAATCTTCGTTGGTTGAATCTCTGTCACTGGGAGATCTTTTCCAGGACTTTGTTGGGAATTGTGCATGCATGCAAATTTAGTGTTTACCATTTCATATTCACTAGTCTTCTGGAAAGTGACTTTGGCTGCCTTCCCTGGAGTTTGAATGGCTCCATTTTCATCACCCATTGGTTTCCATGGTTGGTAATGGCAACAGTTCATCCTCCAAGTAAAAAGGAGTAGGTATAGAAATAGCCCAAGAGAATTACTTCTACCTTATTAAAGTGTATACCTGAACTATTTGAAGACATCAAAAGCACATTTTAAAAGGAGAAACCTAGGTCTTCTAAGAAGTCTGTCCGCCACACACATCAATAAAATTCATTCTTTCCAAGTATAATAAAATTAAAATCAAAATTGGTTCAAGACTGGAAATGGGATGTAAATTAGTTTTAATTGTCCAGTAAAGTGAGAAGAATCAAAACTAAGAATCAGTGGAGATGGAAAAGGGAGAATTTATATCAGAGTTTTTCAGGCCATAAAATCCACAGTAAAATCAGCACTTGTTGTCTTTGAAGACATAGCCAGTGAAGGAAAAGAGAAAAACATCCAGGGGAAAAAAAAACTTATATCCATTGTAAAAAAAAAAAAGTGCTTTCTAAGACCACATAGTTACTTTTCCCATTGCCCTTCCAATTTGTTTCATTGAGTATGTGTGAGTGCGTGTGTGTGTGTATACATATATATATGCTTTTTTTTCAATTGAGCATGTGGTCAGAAATCAAATTTTGGGATATGTGTCCTAGAATAGAAAGATTTGAGGCACAGAAATTAAAAGAAAGACACGCTAATCAGAAAGGAAATCTGCCTCTGTTTTCTTCTTCTTTTTTTTTTAATCTGAAACTGGGACTCAAACCAACCTCAAAGGGCTGGGTATTTTCTTTTTTAATTTTTATGTTCTAAAAAAAAGTTTGTTGTTTACTCTTGTTCTTTTTTTCCCTTTCCTTCACATGAGTGAGGTGTGTGAGTCTGAGTTAAAATCAACCAGAGGAAAACGTAACTGCCATGAACCAGAGGAGAAAGTTATTGACAAATTAAAAGAAACATTAATAGCAGTAAACCCTTGGGGGATAGGAGTGATGGGTTTGAATTTTATTGCAATTTAGCAAGTTTCTCAGTCATCTAAACCTGTCTGCTCAATGATGGTAATAAATTTGCTTCTAACGTGTTCTCAAATGTATGATGAAGATAAAATGAGGTTGACAAATGATCAGCATGACTCAGGCCTATAATCCTAGCTACTCAGGAAGCTGAGATCCAAGGATTGCAACTTGAAGCCAGCCCTGACAGGAGGTCTATGAGATTTTCATCCCCAGTTAACCAACAAAAAGCCAGAAGCGGAACTGGGCTCAAATGGTAGAGTATTTGACTTGAACAGAAATGCTCAAGCCCTAAATTCAAGCTCTAGTACCAGAACATGGGTGTGTTCACACTCACACATGTACACACACACACACACACACACACAGTGATTTAGTGTATAAAAAGAGAGAGTTCAAGAATTATATAAAAAATTTTGTTTCTTCTGCCCTACTTATACTGTAATCAATACCTCTGCAGCTACTTCTGTTAGACAGATTGACTCTTGCAGGACCTGGAAATTCCTTAGGCAGTTAAACAAAATACTGTTGAGGCCATGTTTCAGATTTCAGGGAAGTTTTATTGTCAAATTCTCATCTCAGTAACAGAACCCTTGCTCTTAGAATTTTACCTGTAATCTAAAGCTTTATTTGTTATGAAGTTGTTTGGCTTCTAATATCCTGTCGGTTTACATTGCTGAAAATAAGCCAGTCTTATGGAACACTGAGCTATTCTACCTCTGAGAAAGATGATGTGGTGATATGATTAATATCGGTCATGAAAGCTCCCTGGAGGAAAATTAGATATTTTGCTCTTTTGCTTCATGCTGACCCAGAGAAGGAAAAGCAGATTGGTTTTAGTACATTTGAGGTTTCATAGGCAATATGGTTATAACAAACTTCATTTTGTGAATCAAATCACTTCTTGTAGCAAAGGGTCAAAAAACAAATGGGGTCTTCAAACTACAGCTTCATAAATTAGTGATTTGGCATGTGGATTTGTGTTTTTCTCTATTAAAAAGAACACTGTTTGCCTAGTCAAGTATGTTAAATATACACTTTCAACTTCACTGTGGAGCTGCAGGATTTTATTCAGCTGCTGAAGCTGTTAAGTTTGGGATACAGTAATGATTATGTTGGCCCTTCTTTATCCTTCTCCAAGGCAGTAACATTGACATGTTAGATCTCCAAATCAAAGCAGTAAAGGAAACTTTCTAACTGGTGATAATTGTAAAACAAATCTCTAAGAAAAAATAAGTTCCTTGTGCTAAAAAATAAAAAAATCAGAATCTTTGTAGGTGAATACTACTTTTCAGGCATGATCTGGCTGAAAGTGCTCAAGAACAAAGAGAAAAAGATTGAGCCTTGAGTGTCAGGAAGAGGAGATAGACAAGGTTTTCTGAAGAAAGCACATAGAGAATCTTTGTAAAAGTCATCAAAAACATTCAGTGTTATGAAATGTAAAGTAAATTCTTTCAGAAAGAAATGGGAAAAGAAATGAGACCATTGGAATTAGTCAGCCAATGGATGTTGTTAAGGCAAACAGGTGAGATTTTCGTGGATTATTGAGCAGTTACATAGACAGTTGACTAGAATAGCGTTTATTCACAAAAATGTAATGTGTAGGGTGGAGGATGGGAAGGGGAAACAAAGGAGGAGGCAACAATGCTTGATAAGAAATATAGTCATTACCTTGCCCATGTAATTATAACCCCTCTGTATGATATTTTCACAACAAAAAATGTAATGTAATATATAGTTACTAATAATATACAATATAAT